GTTGCGCCAATCCTTTCGGCTCGAAAAAAAGCTTCCTTTATCTCTCTCTCTCTCTCTCTCTCGGCTGTCCCGTATCGATAAGAACAGGAATTGCTTGATCTGATGCCGATGGCGCGGATCGGTAACGGGGGTAGGGTGCGGCTTCGGTTGTGCCACTCCCGGCACTCGATGATGACACTGTTCTGAGAGTGTCAAAAACAGCTCCTAACATTTTTCTATACTGTTGCATTCTTTTTGATGTGCAGGTTAGTCGAGGGCTCGTGGAGAAGCTCAAGGGCCATCATGAAGACACTTAGCAATTTTAGGACTTAGGATTTTTAGAGTTAATGTAATATCCGTAATTGTAATTTTATCACAATTAAGAATGTGAAACAATTCACTCCCTTTTTGTATGATGATCCTTTTTATGAAATAAAATGTCAGATTTTCCTTTATATTCATGACCTGCTCTTGAATTTACTTACTTTATTTCTAGTTATAAATTATAAATATTTGTGAATAAATCCACAAATGTTTAAACTCATTAACATAGTCATAAACTGTAAGCATTTCCCGAACGACATTCTTGTTTGTTCATTTGTAGTCTTAATTTCAGCACTTGATTAAATTCACATCGCATTCCAACTTTAAATTCTAACCAATCATTTTATAGCCCAAACCCGGATGCGCGCTGTAATCAACACCAATTTAATATCAATGATAACCTTGCCCGTAATTGTATTCCATCGACCAGAGACTGTGAGCAACAATCCAATAATACCCCAGTAAAACTGTGCCTTATTAACGGAGGTGTGCCGGAAATAAGCCACGAGCAATAAAATAAGTCTTAAATTCAGTTGTGCTCGACAAACTTTAACATCGGCCACGTCGAATTGGCACCTTGATATAATCAGTCCTGGTGATGGGTAAATGCCCCAAAAATAGTGTATCAAACGCCTCAGAACTTAATAACAGCCCGTCTTCAAGGAATTAGCAGAATTTGCATAAAATGACCAAAATACCCCTGGAACCAAATCTGCAAAACAAAACACCTCCGTAACTTGTTAGTGGTTAGCAAATGTACATATGAGATGCTATGCAAAATGACTGACTAAATATAAGGGTAAAATTTGGGGTATTACACACATAATGTGCTAGAAGAATATAGGGTGCAATAAGAAATCTTCTAAAAAAATTGGAATTACTTTTTACAGTATAACATTTCGTACACCACATTCCTTTATAATTGAGTTGTACCTTATTTTTTCCTAAAAACTAATAGTTCGGTAATATAATTCTGAAATAAATCCAGAAATATATTTACATAATGTTTGTTTTCCATAAAGCATTAATTTCAGAGAAGATATTAAGGTGATTTTATAAATATACTTTTCAAATAACAAAAACTTCAAAATACATGTTAAAAAAATTCTCTGACAACAAATCCAACATTGAGAAAGCATCAAGGGTATTTGTTTTGATTTTTCATAAGTGTGCGTGAGCACCCTTTAGGGCCGAAATAACAACCTCCAAAATTCGCCTAGTTTGTTTTAGAATATCATTATAGCTAGGGAGATGTGCATGCGGTTAAAGGTTTGTTACTCAATATTGATATGATTTTAAGTTTTCTAGGGAGTTAGTTAACATAATTTGTTGTTTTGTTTATTTCTCATCCTTCAAAATGTTATGGAATGGAAATAATCTTGATAGCTCTACTTCATTTGTAGGTATTCATTAAGATGATCATCTTTACTTTTATATTTTTATTATGTATAGGGATCGTTTGTCGTATATTATTGTTGATCAAATTGACACAAGTTATTTGAAGTTTATACATGCAGAGCAAGAGGGGTCTTAGGTGTCTCATCTCTTATTTGCAAGTAAAAAATTTACAATGATGGTTTATTTGGGGAGCCACTAAGACAACCCGCGGGGCTCATCTAATTATTTGAAGAGTTTGGTGTATGCCTAAGGGTCATGGGAGCTTAGGCATCAAACAAACTTAATTAATGAATGATGATTTTATTTTTAAAATATGGAATTTATTGGCTAATCCTAATGACATATGATGGTAGGTTCTTATTAGTAATTATAGTAGGAAGCAAAGCATGGTGGAGAATACTATTTACAAGGAGGTTAATGCCCCGCGATGGAAATATATAGTCAAGAATTGGGACAAATTTCAAAAGAATATGGGGTGGAAGCTTGTGGAAAAAATGGGGTTTAATTTTTAGTGATCGTTGGATTCCAACAAAGCAAAAAAATATTTAATTTGGTCCAAACTGATATGATTTTAGATACTAATATGATGGTTAAAGATGTTATCAATGAGGAAGGAAGGTGGAACCTTGATCTTGCTTCAAAATTGACTCATTATAGAGAGGGTTAATCATATTATGGTCATTCCTCTAACCCTTCTTGAAGATGGTGTAGACAACTTGTGGTGCAGGATAATATAGACAATGACTTTTTTGTTAGGAATACATAAACTTATATTTATGTTTCTCAAATTGTATAAATACTAGTAAAGACTAGAATATCATTTGGAAGTTGAGATCCCATATTGATTTAAATGTTTACTTGGCTTATGGCACGTTTGATGCTTTTGACAAACTCTAGACTTCACAAGTGGAACGCTACAATCCCTGCTAATTACAACTAGTGTATAAACACTGAAGAGACTTTGGTCCATGTGCTACATGATTTCCCTTATGCAACACATGTATGGATTTTTCTTATTCTTTTAAACAAAATGATTAAGTTTTATTCGTTTTCATGCATGGATTGGATTTATTTCAATCTTATGGAAAATGTTTTGGAGTTCATGGAATGCAATGGAAGTCAATCTTTATGACCTCTTACCGGTACTTTTGGAATGCAATGGAAAAATAAAGAAATATTTTAGGAATGTTTTCAGCGTCCTGGTAAGAAAATGAAAACAATCATATGTCTGGTGAGAGAAGTCGAGAATGAGAGCCATATTAAAAAAAAGTCTAACCATCAGGACCAAAAATTATACATGTTCAATAGAAACGGTTATGTACCAATTGAATTAAGCTCAATTGTTAAATGTACTTATAAAAGCTATACTTCTATTGTCGGTTGAAGAGGTGTACTCATATATTCTTTAAGGAGTTGCGTGAGGGGTTATGCTAGAAAAATTGGTTTGTGTGATACTTTCATTTTTTAGATATGGGCGATGCTACATGGCCTAAAGCTAACTTGGAAAGAAAGACTTACAAATATAATAGTCGAGAGTGACTCTAAAATCATGATAGATGGTGAGTCAAGAGATTTTACATGATCACAGTTTTCCAACTTGAGTTCGTATAATTAGAAAAATGACTTAAAAGGATTGACACAATCAAATTTAACCATACTTGACATGAAGGAAATCATTGTGCAGATTGGCTAGCCAACTATAACCTTAATTTTAAGAGTTAAATATGTTTTTAGTCCATATAAATAGGCCATAATTCAATTTTAGTCCCTCTAAAAGTTTCCATTAAACAATGATCCACATAAACTTTTCTGTCATAAATTTAGTCCTTCCTGTAAGTTTCCACTAACGGAGGCTTACGTGGAACATGTTTAATTTCTCAACGTGGATTATTTTTTCCATTATCGTTAACGTGGATGATATTCTGATAACTTAGCTAGATGCTTAAAAAATCAAAAGTCTTAATTCATTCCATCATTCTTCTTTGAAATTCAAGCCTTAAACTTCTTCTTTTTCATTTGAGTCATCCCAGATATTGTGCTTGTAATCCCTTCCAGTCAAAGGTGTCATGGTCCCTCCAATTAAAAGCAAGTTTGTGGTCCCAATTATTCGCAGCTTGTGGTCCCTTTAGGTATTTCATTTTGTTTATTAAGTAATGTTAAGGTTAGTTTAAGAATCGTTTTACTCATATTAATATTGAATATCGTATGTTGGGTATCTATGTAGTATTTTTACTACATACCGTATTTGACCTGATTTGAAAAACTTTGACCTTGAGTGAATTAATTGTAAAAGACATGGATAAATTTAAGTTTGTTTTCTACACCAAGGGTTATTTTGTAAAAGACCTTAACTTAAGATACGAGTGTGGGGAAGTTTATGCATATAGTGGTCAAGATTCACATTATTGGTCTTATTTTGAAGCTTGTTATTTAGTCAAAGGGATTGACCTTGAGTTTGATGCTGGGGTTGTTAAAATGTGATGGAAGCATGATGATGGTTCTTTGGAAGAAGATTTAAAACCATTTAAGGATGATGGAGATGCTAGTGAATTAGTTATGTATGCTCTTGGGAAATAATAGTGAAGTTAAGATATTTACTGAGCCAAAAACAGTTACATGAGATGCCACCTTTATAGATAGGGTTAGGGAGACAGGAAAGGGGAAGACATATGATGAAGAGGTTGACAATTTAAGTGAATTTGTTGATTAATCTAGTGATGAATGTGTGAAGGATGGGAATTTTGATGATAGTGGGGAGGCAAGGGTGAAAGGGTTTGATGAAGGTGTTGATGGTGAACCTAGAATTGAATTTGTTGTTGATGGAGAGACCTCAAGTGAACAACCTAACATCATATTTATCACATAAAATATGGGTATGGAATATGACATTGAAAAAGACTACATGACTGATGAACTTGATAGTGCGGCAGATGATGACAATTGTGATGACAGACCTAATGTAATTAGGTTCAATGAAGAATATGGTCTTAGTAAGGATTTTAGTTTCAAGGTTGGAATTGAGGTTTCTTCATTGAAACTGTTTAAGGATGCTATACTATAGCATAATTTTTTGAATGTTAAAGATTTGAGCTTTGAAAAAATGAGGTGTAGGGTGGTATGTAAGGGCAAAAAAAACATGTAATTGTATTGTCTTGTGCAATAGAGTTTTAACCTCCACAAAATTTAGGATCAAGACACTATTTTACAAGCACAAGTTTGGAAGATAATTCTTCAATAAAAGTGCCAAAGTAGAGTGGTTTACAAAGGTTATTATTGATGGGTTAATGAATAATACAAAGATGGAGTTAAATGAGGTGGTAGCAGGTGTTAGACTTAAGTATGCAACTGAAATCCTAGGTTGTAGAGCTTTCAAGGCAAAGCGGCTTGCTAGACAAATTGTAGAAGGGGACTCTAGCAAAAAATTTAGCTTGTTGTGGTCATATGGTGTTGATTTGAGGAGGGCTTCTGCAGGAAACACTTTTAAGGTCAACATTCATTGTCGAGCTCCAGGTTTGCAACCAAGATTTAAAAGCTTCTACATATGTTTTGATGGGACAAAAAAGGCTTTGATAAAAGAATGTAGGCCATTTATTGGCTTAGATGGATGTCATCTGAAGCACAAGTATGGTGGTATATTCCTAATTGATGTTGGGTCAGATCCTAATGATCAATATTTTCTTATTGCTTTTGAAGTTGTTGAGAATGAAGCAAAGGACTCATGGAGTCAGTTCATTAAGTTGCTTATTGAACACATTGGAGAAAGCAAATGGTGTTTCATTTTTTACCAGCAAAAGGTAAGTTTGAATCTCATTAGGTTTTTTGCTTTAATTGTTATGTTTTTATACTAAATGAACATGTTTTTTTGTTACAAAGGGTTTGGTTCTAGTGTTTGAAGAGGAGTACCCAGGATTTGAACATAGATTATGTCTAAGGCACTTATATGCTAACTTCAAGAAGAAGTTTGGAGGAGGAACATTGTTTAGAGATCTTATGCTGGTTGCATAAAATGCAACTTATTTTGAAGCACGGGAATATAAGATGCTTTTAAATCAAGAAGGTCAATTTGGAGGCATGTGAATGGTTAGAGTCTATTACCAAAACTAAATGGTGTAAGCATGATTTTCCTTTTTGCTCTAAGTGTCACGTACTAACGAACAACCTAAGTGAACCATTGTTAGATGCCAAATTTCACTTATTTGATCTATCAAAAGTTGGCATCTTTCACTCAATTTTGTCAAGAAAGTGTTAAAAACCACTCTTGTTTTGTTTGGTTTGCAATATAGTGTGAAAATCTCTTGGTACCTTTGATTTGTGTGCTATTGTGCAGGAATTAGGCACAAAACAAATGGAAAAGTAAGACACAAGAAATGGGCAAAGGAACCAAGAAAGCAAGCAAACAAACAGCAAGCTCACTAGGCGAAGATGCAGCGAAGGAGTAGCAAGCACTCGCTAGGCGAAGGCGCAGCGAGTCTCCAGCGAACACTTCCAGTGGCAAAATGTTGTCACGCTCGCTAGGATAGCAGGCATCGAAGGAGCTAGCGAACAGATCGCTAGCTTACTCGCTAGGCGAACAGGTAGCGAACGAGCCCAGAATTGGACAGATCTGAAAGTACCAAAAGTTCGCTAGGTTCGCTAGGCGAACATGACATATCTTGAATATGTATTTAAGTGTTTTTCTTGCTTTTTTAGGTCATAACTTCATTTAGTAACATTAGATACATCAAAACTTATCTCTCTTCATTTCTTCTAGAGAGAGAAACTCAAAACCCTAAGAGGGAGGAGGTAAGATCTTCGATCTCTTATGGGGTTTGGATTGATCTTTTGATACCTTATGTATTTCATCTAATTTATGTTTGTGAACTAGTTTGGATTCTCTATTGTTTAATTATCTTTGATTGCTTGTTTGTGGGTCTTGACAAAACCATTTCACATCTTTGATCTCAGATTTTCTTCTATCAATGAATAAACTTTTGACATGGTTTTGAAGTTGATATTCATTTTATCTTCTATGGTGTTGTGTTGATTAAGTAGCATGGGTAGCATGGGTAGGATCAATATGATATTGTGTGGGTATGTGATAATAGTGATGAAGAACGATGTTCACCGACATTTGGTGGATTAGATGAATACATGTAAAAAGGGCTAAGCGTGTGTACATATTTTGAGCATTGTATTTTATGCAAAACAATCGTTTATCTGATATGGGTGTTGTCTTTGTTTACCTGTTTATCTTTGATTTGAATCGTGATAGAAATATACTTTTCGGATCTAGAACTAGGATGATTACCTGTTAGGTCCAAAATATTAGAGATAGATTTAGGCTTAGCATTTGCTTGAGTATCAGTTCTTAATGCTCTGTGTTGTGTTTTTGTTGGTAGAAAGATCACCAATGAGACAACATAGTTATTTTCTCGATGCTGCATTAGAGATAAGCTTTGTCGTGAGTGATACGTGAGGATTTTTGACGAATGATTGTGTTGTGTTTAATTTGGTCAGAAGAATGCATGTGTTATCAATTGATGAAATCCAATTCCAACAAGGCTTCGTTTATATTTCAGTCTTTATTTTATATTTCCTGTTTTATTTATGGTTCCTTGAACCTTTTAAACCAAATCGTTTGAAAACAAGCTTAGAAATATGGAAATCGTTGAACGACGTTCATATCGTACTAATCCCTGTGGAGACGACAAAACTGGGTACTTAATATTTTTTGCTTGTTGCTTTACCGCACTAACAACCATTCAATGCAACAATTTTGTTACAAAGGGACAAACCAATAATAACCATGTTTGAGTGATCTTATGAGTATATACACTTTATGTGCTTATTCTTTCTTATTTGATTCACTTATGTTTCCTGCTTATGCTTATTCCTTCTTAAGTCAGGCCAAGAAACTGATACCAAAGAACAGAGTGAAGAAAAATGTTGATTTGACAGGTGCAAAAAGAAAGACTGGTAGGCTAAACACCTTGAAAACAAGAGACATATTTATGCCTAGTAAAACACATGATAATTCGTTGGTGATTACTTAAGAAGAAACCACAGAAGATGTCAATAGTTGTGGTGGGAACTCAAAATGTTTGGCAGACATTTCCAAGGGGCTAACTCAATAAAGATTATTTGAAGATCCATTTGAAGAAATGTATGTTTTATATCTGTGACTCTAATATGTTGACATTTATGTTTTTAAGATATTTGAATGGTGTTGTATCACCACCATGCATATGTATTTTCATTTAATGGTGTTCAAACTACTTATTTGATATGTAATATAAAGAATTGAGAAAATACTCTTTTGATATGTATTGTAATGAATGGAACATATTATGTTCAAATCAAACTACTTTGATATGTACTTAAACAAATAAGTTTGGTCATACTATGTTCAAATATGTCAAAATAATGTCAAATTATAGGCCATACTATGTCCAAATCATACAAAACCTTATGTAAAAAATTTAGGCCACCATATTTCCAAAATATAGGCTACACCATATGAAAAAAACAAGCCCAGATTATGTCAAATTTATCCATGCAACATTGCATTACTGAACAACATTTCATCAACAATTGAACAACGTTACATCAATAATTTAAACATTATATAACTGTCAACATTTGAATACCATTTCAGCAACAACTGAACAAAAATACATTAATTATGTGAACAACATTGGAAGAGTATTTCAATAACATTACATTTCAATATATTCCTCAACATTTACACTTCAATAACAAGTACATGTTAAGCGTAAATGAAAATATAAGACAGACCGAATTCAATTTTCCATAAAATGCCTCCGATTTCATCTTCATCTGCAGTTTCTTGTTCTTTTTCATTGAAGATTCATACAACTCCTTAAACATTTCAACAACTTGCATTACCTTCATATTGCTCTCATCTTTGCTCCAATCTTCATTTACAACTTCATAAGCATCCTTTCCTTGTGCTATATCTTCATCCCATATGAATAAATTGCAAGTTTCCTCACTTTGCCAAAATGGACATCTCCAAGAAAGCTTCCATTTATTATGTTCGTTCTTGCAATGAAATGCGAGTATTACACCCACACCATCTTCTTGGATGGTTGCTGACACTTGTGGATTGATAAGAAACTGATTTACTTCACCTTAGTAAAGAAGTTATTTAATCAAGATTTGTGAGCGATTTGCAGTGAAGAAGAATATGGATTGACTTGTAATAAAGCAGAAGAAGAATGATACGACTTGCAATGAAAAAGAAGAAGAATGGAATTACTTGTATAAGGTGAATGAAATGGGAATGTGAAATTGGGAGCTAAAATTAGGGTTTTGCAATTGAAACATAAATAAACAAAAAATATTACAAAAAAATCCAACGTGTAAAAAGAAATCTCATTTAGCCCTCCGCGTAAACAATCTTTAAATCATTTTAACAGGAGTTACCAATACTCTAGATGGAAAATTTTATGAGGAGTATTGTTTAAAGAAAATTTTTAGAAAAACTAAAATTGAATTATGAGATATTTATGAGATCTCAAATATATTTAATCTATTTTTAAGAAATACTGAATTCACCGTTCTTTAAATTCTCTTATTTGAAGGGCAGTGACAAATTCACTAGACCATTAGACTCTCTTTTATACCATTTAAAATACTAATAGTAATACATATAAATATAAATATAAAAGGTATATATATATATATATATATATATATATATATATATATATATATATATATATATATATATATATATATATATATATATATATATATATATATATATATATATATATATATATAAAATTGACACTACCATTTTTTTAATGAGTATAAAACAAATAAAAGGTGTTTATTGACGCTACGCATAAACAACCGACGAAGACACATAGTCGCCATCGAACTTTATTTATTCCAACTGAGAAAGGAAAACATTGAGAAAACCTCAAAAGGGGAAAAAATGGTCTCGCAACCAAATTCAGGGCTCAGGAGTCGATTACGTAAGAGGAAGATATTCTTACCCCTCGCCAGGAAAATAAAAGGGGGCTAAGACAAAAGGGAGCTTGCCGGGATCTCGCAATCATGTGCCTACGTATTACCTTGTGTGATGGGAAAGTCAGAGCAATCGTAGTTTGGAGACTATGGTGAAAAAAAGGGGAAGGTTGAAAAAAGAAAAGGTGGCTCGCCAAGGATTAAGGTCTTTGTGCCTACGTATCTTCACTTGAACAAAGTGAAGAATCAGAGCGTTCGTAGTTCATGGGACTACAATTTGTTGATGTTTTTTATGGACGATGCTAACGTTCACGTTCTACCAGTTAGGTGTATTGTCGCTGCTCGTGGAGTCTTATGTGTTACCTGTATTGCGGTAGAACAGAAATAACATGTCCTTTCTGAAAAGTTTTGAAGAGAAAATCCCGAAGGACAAAATGATTTGCATTTGTTGAAAAGAGGTTGAGATGCATTTGTACAAACGATCCAAGTGTCTTACGTAAAAAATACTCTAAAAATAGGTAAGGAAAGACTCCCGTTCATCTTTTCCCATATACTTAAGGCTCGTGACGTACTACATGCATCGTGTTTATTAAGTGTCTTTTATATTTTTGATTCAAGAAAAGATTTGGATGCGAAAGAAAGAAAAATCTAAGGGAACCGAATCCTAAGTGTTATCATGCAAAGAGGTCTTAGGGTTAATATCAAAGGGAAACTCTATCCTAATGTGATCATGCAAGATAGACCTAAAGTTGAGGATGAAGGGAGATTCTACCCTAATGTTGACATGTTTGGATTAAAGACCTAAAATCTATCCTACTTCAATCTTAATCAGAAATTAAGTTGAACTAGGAGATCCTAAAGGAACATTTAAAGGCAAACAAATAATCAAGACACAATTCAAGCATCAAGATGAATTAACAAGAGAAAACAAGCTTAAAGCATGAAAGTAAACAATCACAAAATAAAATCAAACCAAAAGAAAAATACTATGACATAACAAAAGATGCATGAATTAGATGAATGATGAGCGT